AAGCTCAGGAATGGGAGCACTAGGATCAGAATTACCTGGACTCTCAGGAAAGGGGGTGACTCTGGGCACTCATCCGAGGAAGTAGTTGGCAGTAGAGGAGGGAAAGTAGATTCCTGCATCCAGGTGACTTGTTGTCTGTCCTTGTCCCTGACATAAACTTTGCCTGCGTCAACAACTGTTGCTGGCTTATCATCCTCTATCTGTGCAACCACTGGTAGAGGTGGAATAGGAATCTCTTTACACCAAGGCTCCCCCTGAAGGGATGACTGGGACACTGGAGAGGGTAGAAAATAAGACTGAGACGTGAAAAAAGTGACATCCATGGAGACAAACCATTTGCGAGTGGGAGAATGATAACACTTATAACCCTTTTGTGTGGCAGAGTAACCTAGGAAAACACACCTAAGAGACCTAGGATCCAATTTACCACGAGTAGGGAAATGATTATGGACAAAACAAACACAGCCAAAGGTCTTAGGGGAAAGGGAGAACCCAGAAGAGATGGACCCGAACAGAACTTTGAGAGGTGTTTGCTCGTGAAGGAATTGTGTAGGAAGACGATTAATCAATTAAGTGGCAGTGAGAACTGGCTCCCCCTAATAGGATCTAGGAACACGCATTTCAAAAGATAGACAACGGGCCACATCAAAGAAATGACGATTTTTCCTTTCAACAACCCTATTTTGTTAAGGGGTACTGGTGCAGGAAGTTTGATGAATAATGCCATGAATGACAAAATAACTGGCAAGACCAGAGTCAAGATATTCCCCCCCCCCCAATTATCAGAACACAAAATTTTGACAACCGCCCCAAACTGAGTGCAAATCATTTTATGGAAGGTTTGAAACACAAAAAACATGTCACTTTTATCTTTCAGCAGATAGACCCAAGTGGCCCTAGAACGGTCATCGATGAAAGTAACAAATCATTTTTGATCTTTTAAAGACACAAAACGTGAGGGACCCCAAATATCAAAATGAATCAAAGTAAATGGAACTGAACTTTTATTAATATAGGGAGCAAAAGAAGCTCGGTGTTGTTTCCCATGTAGACAAGATTCACATTGAAAATCAGACACACTATTATTCTCAAACCCAAAAGGAAATAAATGCTTAAGTAGTAAAAAAGAGGGATTTCCTAAACGATGGTGCCACAGCCAGAGGTCTTCCTTGGTGGATGGTAACTAAGCAGAGGAATGAGCCAGCCTATCTGTCTAATCGAGAATGTAGAGATCATGTTCTACTCTACCACTGCCAATCTTCTTCCTCGTGATAAGGTCTTGGAAAAGATAACGATCAGGAAAAAACGTCACGCTACAATTCAAATCACGAGTAATACGACTCAAAGATAAAAGATTAACACTAAAATTAGAAACATGGAGAGCAGAGGATAAAGGAAGGGAAGGTGTGACATGAATTAAACCTTTCCCAAATACAGACGACATAGTACCATCAGCAATACGTACTTTTTCTTGACCTAAATAGGGGTTATACTCGGAGAATAAATGAGAGGAACCAGACATATGGTCAGAAACACCAGAATCAATTATCCAAGGCACAATGGTATGAGATAGCAATACATATGAAGAGGAAGCCAAGTTACCTGAATTGGCAAAGGAAGAAGAGGGTGCACCTGTGGCAGAAGTGGAGGCGCGACGGTCTAGCAAGTGGCAAAGAGCGATCTCAAAATAAGAGGTAGATAACCCCGAAACATTAGCAGCCGGTGAGACAACGGGAGATGAAGGTGGTGGCTCAACCGTGTCTGAAAGTTGAGCCCGACCAATGGCCCCTCGGCCTCTAGACGGGCCAGATCTACCCCCGCGAGTACCAGGACAGTCTCTGCAACCACCAAGAGTCCCATGCAGCTTCCAACAAGTCTCTCGGGTACGTCGAGGTCAATGGCAGTAGTCACAAAAAAGATTATCCTTCTCAGAAGGACGAGAACAATGAGACATATGCTCGCCAGCGCGGGAAGGTACAGAAACCAAAGCAAAACGATCAGTGGTGGTAGAAGGAAGCATCACAGAGCAACGACTCTCTTCATTCTGCACAAAAGCAAAGGCTTCCTAGAGAGAAGGAAGCACATCCATGCCAAGAACGCGGCTCTGAACAGGGTTATACTCCACATTTCGACCTTCCAAGAACTTGAAGACCCACTCTTGTGCCACAAATTTCCGATAACCAGCAGAATAAGTGGAACAGACAGGCTTGTAATCCTGAAGATGATCAAGCCTCTTCCACCCATTGCTAAGAAAGGTAAAATACTAGAGAATAGTCATCTCACCTTGTACCGACCTTTCAATGGAGCGACGTAACTCAACAGCCTGGGAGAAGTTCCCCTTCCAGGAGTAAGTGGTAGCCACGGCCTCCCAAATATCCTGGGCAGTGTCCATAGAGAGATAGCCCTCTCCAATCTCTAGAACCATAGAATGGATCAACCAACCCATAATAAGAGAGTTAGTGATCTCCCACTGATCATAAGTCGAGCCTGTGGTGGTTGGTGCCGGTATCCTGCCATCAACTTACCCCATCTTCCCTCTGCTCTTCAAACAAAATAGTCAAACTTTGCGACCACGCTAGATAGTTCTAAGCATTGAATAGAGAGGTGGTGATCTTGAGGCCAAGGTTGAGGTTATCAGTCATAGTAGGAGGTATAATGGAACTCTCACCCTGAGGTGGCTGAGAAGTAGTAGATTCACTAAGGGAATCTGCCATGGATACTTTACTATTTAACTCTCAAAAAACAAGGCCAATCACAAACCTAGAAGATAAAAGTGAAAGGAAAGACACAACTACCACTGTGACAGCATAAAGAATAATTAAGAACTCATCAGTATGTTTTTTTTTTTTCCCCACTGCATTTTTTTTTGGGGTTTAGGTTAAAACAGAAAACAGAGAGCTTAAAACATAGAATGAGAGACCTAGAGACTGGCCGACAGAGACAGAAGACCAGAGGGACTGTCGTGGAAGGTCTAGACAGCCAGAGGGACTATCGTTGAAGGTGAAGAGCCATGGAGGGTGCCGACAGCAACTCTGGAGCCAAGAGGACCCTACGACACAGCCTAAAGAGCCAGGGAGGGCTCTCGACAGACCCCTAGAAGACGAGAGGGGGGCTGCCGAGGCCTGGTTCGAGCGTTACGAGAGACCTGGGTGAGCAAGAGAGGCTGGGTGCTGGGTTTCGGTGGCTCAGAGGCTGCCGGAGAAGAGAGAGATTGCCGGAGTGTTAGAAGAGAATGGCTAGGGCCTGTTTGGCTTTGATACCATGAAGTTTTAGAGAAGAGAAAGTGATAGGGAATAGGTTAAACCTCATTCCCTTTTATATTTATAATACTAAGTAATTACAAGAGTGCCATAAGGCATAAATTATGGGCCAGCCCATTACATCAATAAAGGGAAAAATAAATATATAAAGAATAAAATATAACAAATATTCTTTCCTATTCTAACAGGATCATCGAGAGGGGCCCTATGGGCACAAGTTCTCTCAAGTTCAGATTTGCACTTGAGAAAAAGCTCAACCCAAAAAGATGCAAGTGATTTGGGTTTGAAAAGACTGAATATATTACATTTAAAAGTAAAACAGCTAATTCTTTAAAAATAACATTTTATATCTGTAAGAAATAATGTATAGAGAAAGAGAGAGAGAATAAATTGTATGTATTATTGATTGATATATTGATATTTATTACAATGATTCATGATTCCTATATATAGAAGAGGGTGAGTGTGTAGTAGGTAAGGAGTAGGTGAAGTGGAGGTGGTAGTGGTGTAGTGGGTTAGGTTTAGTGGAGTAGGTTTAAGTGGGTTAGGTTTAGTGGAGTAGGTGAGGTGGTAGTGATGTAGTGGGTTAGGTTTAGTGGAGTAGGTTTAAGTGGGTGAAGTAGGTGGAGAGTAGGTGGATTTTAACAATATCTCAAATTTTCACTTCAAAATTAAAGTCCTTGGTTGAAGACATGAAAGCAAAAATTCAGAAAGCCTTCTACAAATTTAAAATAAAATTCCAGAATCCTCTTTAGTCATGGAAATAACATTATTGAAGCTTGTGTAGCCAAATACATCAAAGGAGTTTTCAGAAAGGCAATAATTGGAGTCACACATCATATAGCCCCAATAAAAGATTGGATAATTCATAATTATAGGAGAAAGACAAATCAGCATAATTCGTAGGTAAAACAGAGATAAAAAAAGACATGAGATGATATACAACTTGAGATTCATAAAGCAGAAAATTTGGCTACAACATTTGGTTTCCTTTTTGACTTGCCTATTAAGCAATCAGAAAATACAGAAAGGACCCAAAGTAATCATTCACAATATTATGTTTTGAGCAACCCACAAGATTGGATTAGTCACATCATCCACAAGAAACAGAAAACAACCAGCCCAAAGTGAATCTAAGGGGTTGTTTGATAAGGCTCAAGATTAAGTACTGAACTAAAATTTTTTAAATGAGCCATTAAAATCAAAAATTATTAATTAAAATTGAACACATTGACCGGTAGTCTGTTTAGCATTTAATCATGAGTAAGGGATCTGTGAATCAAGCATTATCAAATGCTTTTAACAAAGATCCAGATCCACTATAAAAATTTAGATCAATGCACTTGAAGGGTCATCAAAATACTCTTAAGCCTTAGGGAACCAACTAGAATAAATTGTCCCCCAAAGACTTAATTGAATCACGCACTGCCTAATACTAAAGAAAGGCCCTAGAATACAGTTAAAACTTACAGCAAAGCAAAACCAACTTCTACACTTACTAAAAGACACAAACACAGTTATAATAAGAACAACAATCAACTATAAAGGACCTTATTAATTGTGACTGCAAATGAATTATTGAAATACAAAATTAGAGTATTCAAAAAAAGCCTACAATTTTTATGAATTGGAACCATATCTTTTCTATTTTTGTTTAACCAATTCATATCTACGAAACTGATTAACTGAATGGAAAAGAAAAATAAGGATAACAAAGTGGAATTAAACTGTTCTACTCACCTTGAGATCCAAGACAAAACTCTCTTGCACAAACATTGCAAGCTGAGAACCATCCTCCTTATTTAGAAACACAGACACACTGTCAACATCCAGGTTCAAATAGAATATTATACGACCTTTACCATATCCCAACAAGCCTTTAACAAAAGCATGCCCAGTTTCTTCCGTCTTGTCTTTGTTCACTAAAGATTGATCGTCTGAAATTGTTGTCACGCTTGTATCACTTGTCCCAATAGTTGCAGAGCTTAGATTGAAGCCGAAACCAATTAAAGCAACAACAGTGGGTCTGTTGCAAAAGAATTCCAATTTCGACATGCGAATGCTCATCTGGAAAAAAATATTTATTGAATTAATTAACATAGCTTAGTAGGGATATGGATTTCTTAGTCCAATTTTTTTCTCTTATCAGTTGAATGATGCTTAAGTCAAATACCTGTGCATCTATACCATCATAATCAGGTGAACTAGGATTCCTTGTCGAGTATGTAACAGATACAAAATCTGAGTTGTCACTGCCCTCTGCTTCATAAAAAACATCACCAGTTGTGCTTTTACCTTTTCCCACCTCCTTCTCACGAACTATGTCTCCAACAGAATCAAACTCAGCATATTCACTAATATCACCTGATCTTGAGGCAAAAGCCATATCAAAATTTTGTGAGTAATCAGGCAAAGACATGAAATCGGGCAAAGCATCCTTGAAAATATCATCCTCCTCTGAGATTACTGTGGGCACCTCCTTCACCAGAGGATCTAAAGTGCTAGGGGAAGCAAATAAAGGGTCATTCTTCAGCACAGAGCAGGCTAAATACTTTGGACCTGAAGATAAAGATCCTTGAAGCTCATCCTTGATTTTCAATGAATGTAGCTTCATCTTGACAGTCAAATCACCTTCCAACCGAATAACATGCACCTGCAAAGCAACATATTACAATTTAAACGTCAATGAATATAACTGAGAAAATAATAGCTGGAAGAATCTTCAGCTCAAGAACATGTGTTCCACAAAGGAAACTGCATAAGGTTGATATAAAAGGTCAATGAACTCTCGAAAGCACAAGAGTCTAAGAACAATATCAATCCAATTGCAAAAAACTCACCATTGTACCACACAAACTACTTTCAATGACAAAAAGATAGCTTTCCTATTTTATTTTTGGTCAGCAACAAAGAAAATTTCATTAAAAAGAACAAAGAAGAATCAAGTATAAGAGGGAGAAAAGAAGTACACCGAGAAAAAAAAAAGGAAAAGAAAAAACATACTCAAATTCTACAAATGGCGCTCCAATCCCTAGAAATTAAAAAGAGGAAACCCTTTAAAAGGAGGAGCCACTGACACCCAAAAAGGAGCTCAAAAACAAATCCTTTCCCAAATGTTTTCAAAATTTTCATATCTTCCCTCAAAATTCTAGCATTCCTTCCTTTCAATCCTTAAGACCCCACAGAACTGCACAAACCACACATTTCCAAGAGCCCTTACCATTTGATCCAAAACCTCTGAAGTCAAAGAAAGCAAATGCTCACAGGAAGATGGAATAACTTAAGCAGCCTCCACCAGAAAAAAATAAAAATAAAATATATATATATATATATCTCCCCCATAAAGAAAGAGCTAAAGGACAACGCAAGAACAGATGATCCACGCTCTCCCCAGCCCCCCTACACATAACACGCCATTATGGAAGCAAGTAACAATTTGGCCTTCTTCTTTGAGCTATGTCATCAGTTTTAAGCTTCATGCGAGCCAAAGTCCAAGCAAACACTTCAACCTTAAAAGAAAAATTTCTCGATTGCAACTTATTGGCTGGCACATACCATACAATATACATTAATGAAATTAGAAAACAAAAACAGAATAAAACCTTCATGCGGATTGAACTTTGAGCTTAAGACTATTGAAATACCAAAAGCAGACTACAGCACTATTGAACATAAAAATCAATACAAGCTTTGCGCAATATCCAGTTTCTCAGAATTTTACGCACAAAACAACTATGAACTACATTTGCATCAATCTGACACTGGTTATTTCTTATTTAACTTCCATGTAATGGATTGCAGACAAGCATGACAGACCTTTCCCCCTCCAGCAAGAATCTCAAGAATTCGAGTCTCCTCGAGTTTTTCTTGCACCTCATCATCAATCTGCAAATTAATAGAAATAATAAAAATAACTAAAATAAAAAATTTGCTCTTAATATGACATAATTGACAAAATTTAAAATAAGCAGATAGCATAAATGACAGTCTTGGAACTACATTTGGCAGAAAAAATGACTAAAGAAAAACAAAACTTACCTTTCCATATAGTGATAATTTTGTTTCCACCAAAGCACCATTAATAACAAGGTCAGCTGGCTTCAAAGCAGCGGCATGAGGTTTGGAAAATTCAGCAAGACCATCACCTGAATCTCCGAGTATATTAACTGAAGAAGGAGCCTATAAACCAGCATATTCAAAAGGCACACGTCTTAATTACTAACCATTTTAGAAATGAAGAATGCACAAATAATAATAATAATAATAATAATAATAATAATAATTCGTATATACAGAAGCTCGATAAGTGGCTTGCATGAGTCCTCTCAACCAAGTGCCTTTCTCCTCCTCATCCTGAAACTCTATCACCAGGGTACTAAATGATTCCAAAGCCTTCAAAAGAATAAATATATATAAGTAAAGGAAAACAAATATATTATTCACATAAATAACAGAAAAGAAGCATCATCCATCACCATAAAAATAAAAATTTTAAAAAACAAAACAAAAACAGAAAAAGAAAAAGAAGAGCCCATTCAAAGAAGACAACTAACAAATTGAGAAATACAATTGATACCCACAAACTTTAAACCCTGAGAGAAGGTTCTGATTGATCACAAATTTGAATACTTACTTACAATATTAAGCAAGCCTAATGCACCACACCTATTTATCTTTTCACAACAACTTTCAAACAAAAAGAGTTTATAAAATTACACAACAAATAGAATGAAGTTAAAAATTAAGTAGCACAAGCAAGTATGTGAGATAACTGGTGAGCAATACGAGAGAAAACAATAGGATTAAGAAATTTAGAATATTAAAACCTTGAGTACGAGGATGAATAATGGAGAAACTTCACTTTATCCCATGTACTTTGCCCCAAAAACTCTTTACCAAACTTTAAAAACCACACTTCTATTTCATATCTCAAAGACACAAAATACATTTGAGATCTCAAGAAATATGTTATGAGACCAAATATAGAAGATGAAAAGACAGGTGGTTATCTATCATTTCCAAACCATCTTTTGAACCATCCCAATATAATTGATTTGCGTCATTGAAACAGATCTAAATAGAACTATTAAAAAGCTAACCAAGTCAGACATGTGGTGTATTGTAGGTACAAGCATCTAGCTCCACCATGTGGCATCTTTATTAACGAAGTTCCATGTGTCAACATAGTGAGGTGACACGTGGGTCATTGGTACACCTTGATAAGTGCCGAAATGTACGACATAAACACATGCTTATTAACCAAATCAAGCAAAGAGCTTCAAATGACTATATATGAAAGCATGTGAAGTAAAAATCACCATAAATTCTATCAGAAAAGATAAAATTAAAGCATACCAGAAAGGTAATAAGAGTATGATTAGTACTTAGGATATGATAAAATAAAATCAACAAAACCCACTTAAAATATAAAATATTTACCTTCTGAATGTCCATACCCCTAACACTAACAGCAAGACAAGAGACTGAACCACCAACATTCATTGGGGGAACTTCATATACTTGCTTGCCAGCCATGCTGCAGCAACACAAAATTTAATTTTTAAGTAAAGCATGTAGAGAGAATATTCAATTATATGGCATTCATCAAAGAGACAACAACCTAGAAAATAACAGTTATATTTCAACAGCAGCTTAGCTGAATCTCTTATCATTCAAACAGTAGAACAGAACAAGCAGCACAAAACAAGTTCAACAAAAAAGTAAATAGGTGCACCTAGAGCATCTCTGATAGTTCTGGGACATTTCTGATTCCAACACATAAAGATATAATCCAGTCAACACAATAAAACAGGGATGCCATGCAGCAACAGAATAACCAATTCCCTGAATCCAGAATACATAACAAAAGGAGATCAGACGCAATGAAAAGAGTGACAGCAGATTTGGATATCAGATGATTTTCTTTGGCACAAACATCATACCCTCCAAACAAGGATTCGAGCTTCAGTTGCAAGATCTGGGGGATTCCAAGGGACAAAATCAGCTTGAAAATTTTCTAACTCAGGCTGACCACTACTTTGAGTTGTGCCATAGAGTATATTAAACAATTCCATAAGTCTACAATATCTGGCTGGAGAAAAGTGTATGCCAAGGCTCGGCACTTGGACAGAAACACGCGTTGATGGGTAACTTGGATGAGGTACTTTGATCTTCAATAAACAAACAAATGGGAAAGATTAGGACAAAATAGAGTAAATCATGATAACAGCCAGAACCCAGAATACAACCTGTACCGTGAATCAGAGCTACCAGTATTTTGATAATATATATACATAGGTACAAATACAAGCTGAAAATTACCTGATCAACAATAACTGCCATACCACACCTATCAATCAGAGACCAGAGGTTATCAGAATCTTTCAACATGGGAGATACAGGAGACACCAAAGCGCAGCTCTGACTGTCATAACCACAACCAGTAAAAAAGGCAGCTATATCTCTTCCAGAAATATAGAAACGGGAGTACAGACGTTTCCCCTGATCGCCAAGCTGATCTCCCTGCAATGATGACCAATATATTTAAAATAAAAATATCAATGCAATATAAAAACAAAGTAAAAGATTGAACTAAAGGATCATACCTTAGTATACAATGTGAAATGACCAAAATCCAAAAGAAAATGGCAATCACATTTGGAAGAACCACACGTTCGTATAGGAACTCTAACTTTTGGAGCATCAAGATCGATGTCGAGAGCAAATCTGAGAGAACAAAAAAAAATAAATAAATAAGGATGAGAGTTAATAATGTAAACTTATTAGCTTTCCTCATTCAGCCACAATTTAGGGAAACAATACTTATGGTTGGATATGCCAATAGCTCCTCGTAGCTATTAACCCAGCTTAAACAACTAAATGATTAAAGATGCCTAAAACCAATAGATACTCAACATCTCCTAATAGGTTCATGACATCCTTGGAAGTTGGTGTGACCTGAAGGTTAGACAATATAAAAAGAAACTAGCACTCCAGTTAATAATGGTGCTTTAGCAACTAAATGACCAATAGCACTGCAGTATATGCAAATAGGACACCAATGATTTGCAATCATCCTGCACCTAACATTCCGTGGCAATCACTTCTAAACTTCCAAAATGCCAACCATGTAAACTGGATGCTCAAATCCTAAGACCCAACACCTAAAATAAATAAATAAGAAGAAAAAAGAAAGTTAAAAAACTTTAAAAAAATAAAATAACATAAAAACAAGCAGACATTACATGGTCTTCGGTAGAACGCAACCCCAAAGCTAGTTATTGAAGTGAGGGTGCCCTCACATTTATATGCTTAACATTACTTTAGTACTCAAGCAATGTGGTTAAAAATAAAACAAAATAAATAAATAAATAAATAGGAGACATGTCCCTGTGAGAATATATTTGTCTATATTGTGAGAATATATTTGTCCTTGTGGACCAATTTTTCATGAGTTTGTTCCCTCTTGTCCTCCTGCACCCCCTCCTGCACCCCCTCCTGCTCCTTCGTCTCCTCTGTTGTTAGTCTATTCTCGTCGCAAGGCTCTCTCTCCACTCGTTGTCTCTACCCTACTGCTAATCCCCTTAATTCTGACAACTCTGATCTTGCCCATCGTAAGTATCCCCTTCACAACTGTAAACAGATAGTCAAACTTGGTTTTGCTAAAATATGTTTTTCTCCTTTCTACTGCACCTTTTTGTCTGCTATTCACTCTTTTTCAAAATCCCAATCTTACAACGAGGCCTGTCAGGATCCTAATTGGATTCAAGCCATGGAGGATGAGTTGTCTACATTGCAGAAAACTACTACTTGAGAGCTAGTTCCTTTGTCTGCTGGTAAGAATTTGGTTGGTTGTAAATGGGTCTATAAAGTCAAGACTCATTCTGATGGTTCTCTCGAGCGCTACAAAGCTTATCTGGTTGCTAAAGGTTTCTCCCAGGAGTATGGCATTGATCATGAGGAGACTTTTGCCCCTATTGCCCAGATGACTACTGTCCACACTTTGATCTCAATCGCTGCTATTCGTCATTGGCCTTTTTATCCGATGGATGTTAAAAATACTTTTCTTAATGGTCATCTCATTGAAAAGGTTTGCATGCGTCCTCCCCTAGCCTGCTGCGTTCCTCTGGACAAGTTTAGCGACTTCACCATGTTCTGTATGGTTTGAAGCAATCTCCTCATACTTGGTATGATCGCTTTCAAACAGTTGTTACTGAGTTTGGATTTCATCCTTGTGCTCACGACTCTGCCTTGTTTCTCCTCCACACCTCTACTAGTTTTGTTGCCCTCATACTGTACGTAGATGATCATCACCAGTTCTAACTCTTCTACTATCTCCGAAGTCAAGCAGCATCTCTTTCGCACCTTCGAAATGAAGAATTTAGGCCCATTGCAGTATTTTCTTGGCATTGAGATAGCTTCTTCTCCCAATGGCTACTTTCTGTCTTAGGCCAAGTATGCCAACGAGGTTATGCATCGTGCCAGTCTTACTGACACTAAGCTTTCTGATACCCCCATTGAGCTTAATGTGAAGCTTAACACTACTGATGGTGTTCCTCTGGAAGATCCTACTATATATCGAAAGCTTGTAGGTTGCTTAGTCTATCGGATAGTTACTCGCCCTGATCTTACCTATGTTGTCCATGTGGTTAGTCAATTTGTTTCTGCTCCTCGTTCTACACAGTGGGCTGCTTTAATTCGAATTCTTCACTAACTTCACGGTACTATCTTTCAAGACTTGCTCTTATCTTCTACTTCTTCCTTGGACTTGGTGACCTATGTTGATGTTGATTGGGCTGGTTATGTTAATGATCGCAAGTCCACTTCTGGTTTTTGTATGTTTCTTGGCGATTCCCTGATTTCTTGGAAAAGCAAGAAACAAATTGTTATTACCCGTCGCCGAAGCTAAGTATCGTGCTATGGCTCATGCTACTGCTGAAATTATCTGGCTTCGTAGTCTTTTATATGACTGGGGCATCCCTCAGTCTTCTTCGACCTCTCTCTATTGCGACAACCGAAGTGCTATTCAAATTGCCCATAACACTGTCTTTCATGAACGGACGAAGCACATTAAGATTGATTACCACTTCTTTCGCCAACATCTGCAGTCTGGCTCTATCTTGCTTCTGTTTGTGCCTTCAACTTTACAACTTGCTGACTTCTTTACCAAGACGCACACCACTTCTCGATTTCAGTTTCAGTTTCGGTTTCTTCTTAACAAACTCTCAGTGTTTTCTGCTAAAACACCTTGAGTTTGAGCAGGGGCGTGAAAATACATTTGTTTATACTGCCTATAATTTTAGGAATTATTGTATTTTAGGGATTTGGAATGATTGTGATTATGTAAATATTCTGTGTAATTCGTATTTCCTTTTTAGGCTTAGGGATTAGAGTTCTATATAAGTGATGTAATCTTTGTATCAATTACTCAGTCGAATATACAGAAATATTCAGAAACTTACAGGCCCCACCGAGTCTTCAAAGTGTCCTAGCATATACCCAACATGTCTGATCCTTCCAATATGTCCAACACGTATCAAACAAAGATATGCAAACTCCAAAGAGGTGTCCGTGCTTCATAGGTTCTAAGTATAATTTATTGATTCTACTTCTTCTTTGCTTAAGTAATTGCTCACAAGTTATAATTCATGACCTTATATTAGCTCCTTTTATAACCCCAAAAGCCCCAATTAACCCAACTCTTTCTATGAGCTTATGGTCTCTAAGTTGGCACCAAAATCCTAAAATATCTGGTACCCAAAACTAGCAATACAAACACTGAAAATCGTGTAACCTGTTATTTTGATATCTAGGCCATTCCTTCTACCTCGTTGAAACCTAGACCCACAAGCTTATGGTAATCCCACCATAAAACCAATTTCAAGAAGCATAATTCTCAATTTCCCTGTTGCTCTCCTAAATTAATAGGCATGTTATTAACTCAAAACCTGGACTTGCTTGGGGGCATGAAGAACCTCATGCAGCACAATCCATACACAAAACTGATCCAAACCACAGCTCTTTAATAGCATACTATCTACATCTGGCACGTATTGCAAGTGAATAATCCACCTTAGCCATTTTCTCTCAATAGTACAACCTTCAACTCATCATAAATGCAACAAGATTTATTCTACACTTCTTTGTCCCATCACGCATCCATCTCAACATCCAATGTATGAAATGCTTGTACTTTATGGGCACTTCCCTCTTTTTGTTCAAGAATCGACAGTGCCTAAACATTGGAACAGTGAATCTACAGACTAGACTTCTTATCCATCCAGCACAAAACAAGTTTGAATTCACAAGTATAATATAAAGGCATCTAAGGAATCCATATGGATAACAATTGGGATGAAGAGAGCAGTTAAGACATGTCACCCTTGACCGAAAACACATCAAACCAAACAATTTGAGTCATAACTTTATAACCTCATAAGGCAAAATATACAGGTATTTACACTCCAATTTCTACTAATGAATGGTCATAATGGTCATACTATAACATAAGACACAACAAAAATTTTAATACACAGGTGATAAGAATGAAATTTTGTTTGGTCAAAATCCAAACAACTAAATGGATAATCAAAGCAAGAAAGTAAATCCGAAATGGGAAAAATATGTTAAAAGGTGGACCTGCTTTGTTCTTCTAATACAATTTGGAATTGCTCTTGAGCTCTACGAGTAACCATGTCAATCTTATTCTGCACTCGGCATGAAATACCAGATGTAAGTAAAAGGCAATATCCAAAGTAACAACGTGATTACTTTCTCAATCTTAATTTGTACTCAACATCAAATATTAAAATATTTGTTTCTAATTGTAAGAAGTAAAATCTAAAGCAACCACATCATTACCTGCAAAACAGTTGCAGTTTCCAATGCAACAGTAGGGCTAACTGCATTACTCCTCTTTACAAATTCCAAAAAGCGATTGTAACTTTCCATCAAAACCTGCAATACCATTTTATTAAGAGACAATAATCACAAAATTATCAAAGTTCAGGTCACACTCGGTGGAAAAGAAGAAAGGAAGAAAGAAAAAAAAAAGTAGAGAACAAGAATAGCAAGGAGAAGAGGGGGATGGGGCGGGAAAGGACAGACAATATTCACAAAGTAGTGTTGTGACGAGATCAGAGAAGAAAGACAAGGAGCTCTTATACATTCTTTTGAATTTTTTTTTTTTTCCTGATTGGCACTGGGGTGTCCGGATCAAAACCTGACTAATCCCCACGGGTGCACAGGCCCTCGGTAAGGAGTTTCCCACAAGTGCACTACAGTTAATTCAAGGGTTCTCCCCCAGTCCAATGGCCCCAAAGAATGGTTAGCACCTAAGAGGTTTCGATCCTTAAACCTTGGGACGGAGCACACCCCCAAGACCCAAGCCTTGCCACCAAGCCAACCTGTTGGGGTTTACATTCTTTTAAAATATAATCCCCTCTCTTTACCAATCTCTACAGGTCTAACACTTTAACAAGTCCAACTGATACATCACAAATTTATCACGCTTTGTGTACATAAATTTAAGAGTGACACGTGTGAACCAATAATAAATAATTAGGTGTACATGTAATTTACAATTTGGTTCTTTTTTTTTTTTTTTTTTTGTTTTGGTGGGGGGGTTGGAGTTATTGTCTTCCTGTTAGGGGTCAATTTATTTTGCCTTCTTTCTACTATATATAGTTCTATGCAATATTAGTTGTTACAATTTTGAACGTTCAGGTTACCAGTAAATAACAAAACATATGTAAATATTTTTTCAACACCTCGTCCATGCTATGTTCATGTCCTGATTTTTTGAAGGCCGTATTGTTGGCATGTCCATATTGTGTTTTATTAGAGTCATGTGCCTGTATTCAAGCTTCTTAACCTAAATCCTTAAAAATAAATAAAGGTGTTGTCAAAGGGTGTATGCACCTTTTACTGTCCAAGATCCAGAAGAAGTAATTCGATAACCCAAGACCCAAGAAATTAATTATCAACTGTCTCATTATTCCTTCCTCAAGAAAACAAGTACTCAAGAAGATAACCACTTCCGCTAATTTCAACTGGTCATTTTCATAAATCTTGGTAGTCATGTCATTCCAACTCAGTACCCGAAAAGAGTTACTAAGGCAACAATTAATGCAATTAAATTTGTTTAATTTTGTTTCATCAAGACAATTCAGTAAGAGCTCCTAGCACACAAACCAAGGCACAGGATTTGCACACACAAGAAAATTCAAAAGAACATGAAGGAAAAAAGTAGAGCACGATAAGTGACAAAGCAAGGGTATATTAGACGTATAGTGGTTAGAACATATAAAATATTTCAAAAATCGATTTAATATATCTACAAAGTAAATAAAAAGATCAACAAATTACCGTGACATGACAGGGAGAAATTGTCGCCGAAAGCCTCCAGTCTACATTTTCCCCAACTGGTGAACGTACAAAATTAGCAGATAATGCATTCACCTTCTGCTCACTTGAGACACTCTGTCAAAACATATTTTTTAAAACATATAAGCCAACTTGCAAAATAAAAATGTTAACTAGGAATTCCAAGTTCAAATTATAGTATGAATTTGGGCGCAAATTGATTAGAGAAAAATTTTGAACATCAACCTTCTTTGAGAAAATTACCAGAATCTATTACACCTACAGAAATATACCACAATTAAAAGTACATGTAGAAGTTTCCAATACAACTAGACAATTATGAAAGCATCAACATTCTCATCAAAACTAAATACAGTTAAACTAGTTGAGTTTGTGAAATTTACATGCACCTAAGTTACAAATTCCATCACATTTTAAAACATATATGTCATAAGTGAATCAAAACCTTGCCATGGAGAACATAACAATCACAGCACAATGAAAAAATGAACCTGTACAAGTGAACCTTCTGGAGCAGACAATCCGTAAAACCTCAATGTCACATCACAGTGGGTGCTCCGATGTTTAAATTTAGTAGATACAAGGAGTTGCTCAAATCTACCACAAACAATCTCGGTCTGATTGATATTGACTATCCTGGCAGCAGCCTGACCAATAGATATATTTACTAAAAAATGTATCATATTTTGCGAGTCCTTTCCAAAATGTAATGTCAAGTCCTCAGCTGGCTGGTAGCTTAATAGGTTATTGACTGCCTGCCATTCTTCTTTGGTCAATCTTTCCTGCACAGATTCTGATCCCCCAGAAGCATCCATGACAGAGGCATCTCCAGGAGTATACCTGAGAAGAAAAGAAACTACAATAAGGTGACAGCAGCAAATGGACGACAACAAGAAGAATAACCACTTAAGCACAGATAAGAAGGATCTAAGCACACAAGAAAAACAGAAAAAACAAAAGGAGGTAATTCAATTGAAAGAAATTGATAAAGGCCATAACATTCTCACAGACCATCTAAAAGGAAACCAGCCTTTCTTTTTAAGCATCCGCTGTTCAGCTGCTTCCTTAGATTTTACAGATTCAACCTTGGCATGTGCAAGAAACCTGAAAGGTAAATATACCATCAGTCAGAAAAGGAAAAGCCAGCAGTTCAAATATTTGTATCCTCAACACTCCATGATATCTACAAAGTTCAATATGAGGACACATAGGAATGTATAAGGTTATCTGGGGGAAGAAGAGAAGAAAGGAACTGGAAAGGGGGACTTAATGGGTGCGTAAATATCCAGTATCTGTAAAGATTTGCATATTATAATTTTTGCTGCAGTCCCCAAAACATTTCGTATTCACACCTTGGTAAGATAATTGATAACAGATCATTCTAGTTCAACTTTGTCAAAAAGTTTAAACCAGAACTAAACCGACTTTGCATAAAGTAGTAACTGGATCCAAACTGAATATCTCATCTTTTACTTCGATGCAAACTAAACAAGAAAGAGAATTCATTTCGCCATGTTCAACGCAGTAGTCAACCATGGTGTTGCAAAAGCAATAGTCACACTTCGCTGCCGTAGCAACAAAATATTATAAGAGAACACCCCTTGATAAACTAGAACTTCATACCTCCATAAGAGAGTTACTTTAGGATCCAGATCTTTCTCAATATCTCTAATTTCTGAGATATTAACATTTGATAATTGTTGCAATGAGCCCGCATATAATTGGATGTATCGTCGACGAAGCTGACACAAATGGTGTATTTGATCCCATGAGAATCGATAGCTGAAAAGGAAAGAATGTGAGAAGTTAGATAAAACAACAGACAAGTAAATATAATGACCATTATTTGTTGATCAAAGAAAGTGCCAATTAGCACAGTGAACTTAAATTTTAAAATCAGGTATAAAAAAAAAATTTCCAACTTTGTCTTCTCTTCAATTATAAATAATATCCAACTGAATTGATATATATTACCACACTTTCTTCTGCTGCAGGGTGGCTTGAGCAGCATAACGCCACCATAAACGTGGAGCTTCCGAAACTGAAACCACAGGTCTTAAATGGGAAACCTCAACATAAGTTTTGTATCTTGAAATAGCTTCCAAAAGTCTTATCCAATCATGGTATTGAGCCTGTGAAAAGAATACAAGTGATGAATCACATCTAGCCCTCCATTTGATTCCCAACAAAGGTCAGAGAATAAAATCAAAAGAAACAAATTAACACCTCCAATTCTTTTTCTTCTGTTTACCTGTGTGAGTGTGTGTGTGAGTGTGTGAGAAAGAGAGAGAGAAAGAGAGAGAGAAAGAGAGAGAGAGGCGGCCAAAGGTTAGGGGGACCAAACCATGTAAATGAGGAACCATGTCCAGGTGGCCAAAGGTTCAGGAGGTGAAACTAGCGGCCATATGTCAGAGGAAGTGGAGCTGTCCAAAAGAGATTTTAAAGTTGGTCGCAATGACAAGGCCAACAACAATTTCCTTTCAAAAGCTTTCTCTTTGGTCCTGGAACGAGGACCAGGTTCAGGTGGACAATGGCAGCAACAGAAAATGCACAGGTGCCACAATTTTTAAAATAGTTTTGTTCATGGAGAAAATGTAAACCAATTACCTTTCTCTTTTAAATTCTCTCAACCCAAAAATAAGTTAAAAGAAAGAAAAGAATAACCAGAACAAGGCCACAGGCAAAACGCAGATGGGAAAGAACCAAAAGGACAATCACATTGCAGTTATCTAAGAAAGTCAAGATTTAGCACCTCTGTAATTGTCAAAGAAACGTCAGTGAGGACAAGAGAAGCCTTCTCAAAAGGAATTCCAGGATCATTTCTTTCCTGATTTCCTAAACGATGATATTTAAGGACTCCATTGATTGGTGAAACCAAATAGTTGCGATTTTGAGCCCATACAGACACTGCATCATTATCACTTGCTGACTCATTAATACCAACCTCAAAAATCTGGAGTAGTCAAGGAGGGTAAAATGAAATACATAAACAATTAATATCTAACAAGATGGTTTTCATAAAAATTAAGAAAATAACAAAAGCTAATCTATCAAAGTATCATATGCAAATGCATAAATTACCCAGGGTAGCTAACGTAACAATGTGAAAACATACCTCAACCCACTCCTTCGGACTAAGATCTTCCCATTTTTTATCCAACTTCCATGGGAGGCAGTTAGAATCATGGTACATGGCAAGCCGCTCAAGTTGCAATGACTACAATAACAACTAAAACAATTCAGTCCAAATATCTTGGAATGTCATGCTACCATGATTAACAGCAGACAGTAAGATACCCACCAAAAAATAAATAAATCCAAGTGAGCAAAAGATTTTCACAAAATGGGACACAGATGTGAGACAAAGGTGTGGGACCCACATGTGCCATCCTTTGTATCACATTTGTGTCCCATTTTGTGAAAATCTTTTGTGCTCCTAGCATAGCTGTTTAGTGAATACTTGTATCAATGAAACCCACATGAAGGGTCCATCCTTTATCTCACATCTGTGTTCCATTCTGTGAAAATCTTCCACACTCTTGGCACAACTGTTTAGTGACTACTCGTACCTTTCGTAATCTATCTAAAGCACCACTGGTATCAAAGGTTTCATTCCCCTGCTCATCCATTGTAACAGCAGCAAGCTTTGCCAGAGTAACACCACAAGAAAATGGATGTCCTGGATTACTGAATAACAGACAGTTGTACTCAAAATTATGAGAAAGCAAACTGGCAGGGAAGATGCAACAGTATGACCAAAGAAGTTCTCTTGCATTCAGAGGTCAAAAAACATAAATAAAGAGCTCCATCCAACGAAGCATACATCAACCAACCTGACAGAATCCTCATATCTGACATGAACATTGCTAATTGAGATCTTAAGGTTTCCAATAATTGTACCAATTAATGAACCCAGCCAAGAATTTCCAGCAGGTGGCTGCAAAAGAATCAAGCATCACTTAAATCACCAAGCAACTATCAACAAGTTTCCCTAGATTCACGCAAAAAACCTAAAAAAAACGCGCACACACATACACAAAAGCTCAAGGCAACTCATTAATTTACTAGACAATAACATTTTGCTTCTAAAGAGAGCATGCTGAGTAAATTTTCACAATGAAAAATCACATACGCCCTTCTCAAAATCACCAAATTCAAGTCATTAATACACTTAAGAGTTTGCCTTATCAAAATATGAAATAGTAAAACCCACCATCGACTTTTGTTTTGTAATCATCGTGTTTTGTGTTACTTTCATTGATTTATTTGTGTATTTCTCAAGCACCTTTTGTATTAATTATTATGATTTATTGACATGTACATAGTAATAAAATAACACACAAAATTTCACAATGAAAAATCACAAACACCCTTCTCAAAATCACCAAATTCAAGTCGTTAATACACTTAAGAGTTTGCCTTATCAAAATATGAAATAGTAAAACCCACCATTGACTTTTGTTTTGTAATCATCATGTTTTGTGTTACTTTCATTGACTTATTTGTGTATTTCTAAAGCACCTTTTGTATTAATTATTATGATTTATTGGCATGTACACAGTAATAAAATAACACACAAAATACAGATGATTATAAAGACAAAAATATGTTTAACCAAAGAATATTAACTTCAAATGACAGATGATTATTATGTAGATTTAATAGAGTACTAAAATTAAAAGTTCAAAGACATACACTTCCCAGCTTTGATCTTGATATTGCTTCAAGGGTTGCAGATTCTGCTTCCTGCAAGCAATAGACAATGAAAGTTATTTTTTCAAAAAAGAATTTCCTCGAGGTGCAAGGCGCAAGCCTAAGCATGTTAAGGCATCTTTTATATGTAGCATCTAAACAAATCAAATAGCACTGTAAATATAAAAGAACGAAATGATGCAATCATCTAAATTCTGAAAAACAGGACAACCAAAAATCAGGATGCAATAATAAAAAATAAAAAACTTAACAAAATTAACAACAGTTTGTAAGATATCAAATCGTACGTGCTCTATAAGAGAGACCCTATTTGCAACTTACAGACCCATTAGCACTGCTCCTATAAAACCTAGCACTCAGTTTTCTGTTTTGCAGTTTAAAATGACCCTATTGTCTGGTTCTTCTATTATTTTCATGCCAGGATAATTTCACTGTTTAAATTAATTATCTTTTTCTTACTATACCAAACCAAACCAAGCTTTAAGTCCCATCAAATGGGGTCGGCTACATGAATCATTTTTCTCCATTTGATTCTATCCAAGACCCTATCGTTAGTCAAATTAAAGAGATTCATATATCTATTTACTACACTAGCCCATGTTAATTTTAGTACTCTATTAAGGCCTCGTTTGGGAACAGGCTAATTTAGTAACTTTTTGGCTATTTGGTTAAAATATGAGCTTAAAAAACTAGTATGTTTGGGATGACTTTTTGACTTTTTACCAAAAGATGTGCAAAAAGTAGAGAGAAAAGAGAATCTTTGACTTTTTGGTATGGGTTGTTGGCTTTTTGGCTAATTTAGTAACTTTTTGACTTTTTAGCTAAAAGAGAGAGTTCCCAAACGAGACCTAAGTCTACAAAATAATCATTTGTCATTTGAAGTTAATATTCTTTGGTTAAACATATATTTGTCTTTATAATCATCCGTATTTTGTGTGTTATTTTATTACTATGTACATGCCAATATACTCATTCCTAACTTTGTCTTTTATAGTCTTGCCACACATCCACCTAAGCATCATCATCTCAGTGACACTCATCTTATCTACCTGTTGTTTTTTAGTTGCCTAACATTCCGTCCCATACAATCTCGCTAGTCTAATAACTGTTCTATAAAGCTTCCCCTTTAGTCTAGTGGGTACTCGTTTATCGCACAGTACTCCAAACGATGTCCTCTACTTAAGCCATCCCGCCTTAATTCTATGGACCACATCTGCTCCATTCTCCCCAACCATTGTGATAATCGATCCTAAATAACAAAAATGTTTACTCTTAGGTAGTGTTTGGTCCTCAATCTTCACTTCTCCTTTGTTTCCATTGTTACTGTTACTAAAATTACACTCCATATACTCTGTCTTAGTTCTACTTATCCTATATCCTTTAAATTCAAGAGTTTCTCACCAAGTCTCCACCTTAGTGTTACCTCATTCTCTAGCCTCATCCACTAACACGATATTATCTGCAAAAAGCATACACCATGGCACATCATCCTGAATATTTCTCATCAACTCATTCATAACTAAAGCAAAAGATAAGGATTTAAGGTTGATCCTTGGTGTAACCCTACAATAATTGAAAATTCACTTGTCTCTCCAGCTGACAATTTAATAATAGTCACTACACCTTCATACATATCCCTAATCACATCAATATAACCTTTTGTCACCCTTTTCTTCGCTAACACCCACCAGATTATATCCCAAGACACTCTATCATATGCTTTCTCAAGATCAATAAAAACCATATGAATGTTGTAACAGCGCCCGCGTGGGGGCCTCGTGCTACAGTTCGGACTCGATTTGTGTCACGGTTCTTAATCTGAACCAAAAAGTCCAAATCTGGCAAATCGTTTGAGAAAACAGATTTTGAAAAAGTAGTGCCAAACATGGACTGCTTTGCCAGATACAGAGTCGCCACCTAAATATTTTAAAATGTCGGTGCAAAACCGGACACTGAACGGTCAAGTTCGGAGATTCTGAGGTAGGGCGCGAGAGCCAAAACCTCCGGGGACTCCAAACAAACACAAACAAGGATAATCACCGAGTGTTCAAGCGGTGACGTCCGAGTCTTGAGGACGGTCAAAAATGGGGTGTCTACAAATGTCTCTTTTGTTTTCTCTATACTTTTCTATTACTCTTCTCAAAAGATAAATCGCTTCTATTGTTCACCTACCAGGCATAAATCCAAATTGATTCTCTGACACCTCTGTTATATCTCGCAATCGACGTTCCATCACTCTTTTCCACACTTTCATTATATGACACATTAACTTGATCCCTCCATAGTTGTTGCAGTTCTGGACATCTCATTTATTCTTATAGATTGGCAATAAGATACTCTTCCTCCACTCCTCTGGCATTTTCCTAGTCAACAAAATCTTGTTAAATAACCTAGTCAACCAAGCCACCCCTTTCCAAACTTCAATAGGGATATTATCAGGTCTTAAAGCCTTATTTGATTTCATTTTCTTCAGTACAATCTCCACTTCAAAGTTCCTAATCCTACGATAGAACCTATAGTCCTGGTTTTCCTTATCACTGCCTACTTCATCCCCTTTTGACCTACCTACATGTTCCTCATTTAACAACTCCTCAAAATAATTCTTCCACCTCTCCTTAATCTCTTCATCCTTCACCAACACCGAGTCCTCACTATTGATGCACTTAACCTGATTAAAGTCTCTTGTTTTCCTCTCTTATCTTAGCAAGTTTGTATATCGTCTTCTCTCCCTCCTTACTATCTAATCTAGTGTATAAGTCATCATAGGCTTTCAACTTAGTGTCTCTTACTACTTTTTTGACCTCTTTATTAGCCAATCTGTACCTTTTAAGGTTTTCCTCAGTTCTATCTTTCTACCACTTTTTAAAGCACTCTTTTTTTGTCTTTACTACTGCTTGAATCTTCTCCCTCCACCACCAAGTTTTCCTAGAGTTTGGTCCCTTTCCTTTCGACTCTCTAAGAACTTCTCTTGAGATTCTCCTCATACAATTGGCTATCGAGTTCCACGTAGTGTTAGCGTCATTTCCTCAGTTCTAGCATCTTTTTCTTACTATACCATAGTTTCAAAATCTAGAAATGCATAAAATTTAAAACGGTTGAGCGTGCATTATTAAATGAAACGCTATGATTCCTTTTAGTTTTCCACAATAACTAACGAATGTATGCTCATTATAATTTTAGAATATTTATAGCTTCCAGATACCTGTTTTTGATCTTCTATAGTTTGGACATGCATTTTCCAATTCATATTTCATATAAAATTAAAAAAGAAAAAAAAAATCATTTCCAAGAGGATTCTTGAATCATCACAATCGTAAACATTTCAACAATTTGTGGCTGATTTGTAATCTACAAGGGGTTCATGCACCAACAGCATTGATCATTTGTTTCCCAGCTTAAGCAATAAGCATCTTGTAATATATCCTAACCCAAAAGGCCAAAGGTTTCTTGTTTGTTATCCTTGTTGATGGTTTTTGAAATTGATCTCGGGGCTTAAAGTTAATATGAGTAAAAGCAGCGTAGTGGGCATTGCTCTTGCCTAACCATTTATTTAGTAAACTCACTGTGACTGAAAAAGTTGAAGAAATAGTAATTATAGTAATAAAAATAATGCAACCACTAGCCTTGTAGATCTAGAACAGGTTTTTTGTCCACCTTGACGTCCGGGCCCTAGATAGATAGCCCTTGTTGTCTTGTTGGGAACAACTAGTGCTAATAAATAATGCAATTAAGATTGAGCTACAAAGGTGCACACACACACACACAAAAAACAACCAAAAAGAGTCGCGCAGGACCATCAAAGCAAGCTATCAAAAGAAATCAGCAAGATGAAATGAGGAATATACAAGAAATGGATTCACAACTCTTTCCTGTTTTCAAAACAAAATGCACACACACAAACATAGAAATAGCATCAATAATAGAATTATTACTAAAATTAACATGCTTCAACATCATAGAACTTTTTGGTCAACAAGTTAAACTTGTTGAAAGTTCACCTAACCAAATTGTGGAACACGCATAAACACAATTTTTCATAAAAAATATGACAGCATCTCATGGTGAACTAGAGCACAAAGTACATGATACTGCAACAAGCATCAGAAATAAGTGTAAGAAATTGAACCTCTATCTGTTGAAGTTTAGCTTCAAAAAGTTTCTCCCGGTCCTCCTCCTATAACAAGAAATGAATGACAATAATGACAATGAGCTGCTTTCAAGACCCCATAACATTAAATGCAAATATTACTTCACAATCACCAATAGAAATTAACCCTTCCCAAAAACGAAAAATGTGTACTTCCTACCTTAAGAGACCTTCCATCAGGAGGGGGTTGAGCAAGAACAAAAACACGATCAATAAGCACAATCACAGGTTCCTTGCCCAGACTTTTCCAAGGAACCTATTGTTTAGAATCAATGACAGAAAATCAAACAATTAGTGAATAAATTTATGATTGACAGCAATTAGAAACTACAATCCACAAATTTGTTCTTATATTTGTATTTTCTAGCAAAGTAATGAACTAAATCTTATACGGATTCAATCTCTCTAAACATGAACAAACTTCCATAAATTAATTTAATTCAACTTCCATGTGAATTAAAGTTCATGACAATTCAAATTTTAGGTCAAGCAAAAGCCAAAAGGGTAACAAAAATGACCAAATCTAAATCTAACTCAGTACAAGTTTCTCATACCGTTAGTAAGATTTCAAAGATGGGAACAGGATGAATATAGGTGGCTTCTTTTATAGGCAGTGGGATTTCTTTTACATTCCTCTAAAGTTCCAATGACCAAAAACCTGTTTCTCATATGGGTAGCAAGATTTTCAAAGATGAGGATATGATGAAGGTGCAACTGGATTGTGGCAAAGGCGCATACGTTGAACTATGGGTGACTGATTTAGTAGCTGTCCGGCCCAAATCTGTCCGGCCCAACTCTGCCCGGCCCAAATCTGTCCGGCACAATTCTGTCCGGCCCAAATCTGTCCGGCCCAACTCTGCCCGGCCCAAATCTGTCCGGCACAATTCTGTCCGGCCCAAATCTGTCCGGCCCAACTCTGCCCGGCCCAAATCTGTCCGGCACAATTCTGTCCGGCCCAAATCTGTCCGGCCCAACTCTGCCCGGCCCAAATCTGTCCGGCACAATTCTGTCCGGCCCAAATCTGTCCGGCCCAACTCTGCCCGGCCCAAATCTGTCCGGCACAACTCTGTCCGGCCCAAATCTGTCCGGCCCAACTCTGCCCGGCCCAAATCTGTCCGGCACAACTCTGTCCGGCCCAACTCTGTCCGGCCCAAATCTGTCCGGCACAACTCTGCCCGGCCCAAATCTGTCTGGCACAAAGTCCATATCATTAATCTCCCTCTCAGTAGGCAATAGGTTTATTTCATGTTTCATTATGTATCAACGTGGGAAAACTGGTCCATAAGATAAATCAACATATATCAAAATTGATCATGCCTTAAAATTGCTTATAAGTTCAAGTATTGCGTTCAGATCATTGAATGAATATATAAATCCTATTAATAGATACCATCACTGGGCCACAGGAACTATTCCCAAATCAGTATCTCAATAATCAATACCCAAAATCATAGTCTAATAAAAAGGCACATATATAGGCTAAATGCACTAATAAAATACCACAAGTAAACAAATACCAAGAAATAAAAACCTAATTAAATTAGAACTCAAAACATAAATAAAAATAAAGGCTTTGTTTGGTTCCATTCTGGAATCATGATTCCACCCTCATATTCCAACCCTTTGTTTGATTATAGTTTTTAAAATATGATTCCAAATCACATTTCAAAACACATTTGAAAACATGTTTGGTAACCAGAGAGTTTTTGAATTCTTGCGTCTACCCAATTGTCCGCTCGGACATCCTCCCGGACAATTTTTGAATTTTTGGGTCTACTCGATCGTCAGCCCGGACGTCCGGCTTGTTGACCGGAACAGTGCTCTTTTTTTTTTCTTTTTTTTTTCTTTTTTTGCAATTGCCACCTGTTATTTGGAAAAAAAAAATTATATATATTTTTTATATTTTTTAAATATAGAAATTATTTTTTTTAGACCAAAATGACAAATTATTTGGCCATTTATTTAAAATTAACAAAAAAAAAATTAAATAAAAATTAATTTGTCACAGTAATTTTTAAAAAAATTTTAAAAAAAATAATATTTTTAAACAAAACAGTTAAAAAAAAATTCCCAATCAAATACACAATCAAAAGTAATTTTGAAGCACTAGCTTCAAAAGCTTCAAAACTCATAACCAAACAAATTTTCTCTTTTCAAATCATGATTCAACAACTCACAAACTCAAAATACAACTCCATTCTCAAATGATGATTCTAAAACTAAACCAAACACTACCAAAAAATCTTCAATTATCTAGTTGAATGGTAGTGGAAAGGCTAGTTGTACACTGTGCGGTTGAGGGAAGAGAGAGGGTGACGACCATACAAGAAAGAGATGGAGACTAAAGAGAAAGGAAAAAGGAGGCATATAGAATAGAATCTGACGGAGGAAAAAAAAAAGCAAGAGAAGTAGAGAAGAGAGATGGTAATTACGTGAATTCAGATTTTTGTTACAAAATGATTGTTTTAAGAGTGATGATAAATGGAATATTTTATATTTTTTTGTTAACTTTGTTGTACTAAAACAAACTCTGAGAGTGGAGAGCTGAGTAATTTTCATCATGGTAGTGGGGCTTTCTCAAAGAAGGTAATAAGAGCTAATATGTTAGCATGCAAAGTCAATGAACAAGCCTAAAATGACTTCCAAATCAATCTGTCAGGAAACACAAAGACAACTCCTCATAAAATTTAGCTTTTCCATATTAATCTCAATGATCCTTTACTTAAAGGGGAATATATTTACAAATATAGGATAGAAAGGACAATTAATACTTGAGGCATGTCATGAAGCCCTAATGGACAAGAAACCTCAGTACTTAATCCTCCATACATACACACAAAAATTTAAAATAAAAATTAAAAAAAAAACACCCCAACAGGAGTAAAACACCAAATGGATGTGAACTTAGTAGCTCAAAAATACCTTTAATGTTATGGTACCAACAAACCCAGCTTTGACTGTCACAGGAAGTTTTAATGAATTTAGTGCCTCTGCCTTCAATTTCAAGTCCTTGAGAACTACATCACCTACAAGAAAAAGGACCAGTTAGCAAATCATTTAAACATCTTTTAACAACAAAATACAAGGAATATTAGTGTTAGACACCAAATCAGAAAGCACTACAACAACTAAATCCAACATTGTTAAGATAGGCTCAACCAATAGAGAGAGAGAGAGAGAGAGAGAGAGGCTCAACCAACAGAAAAATATACAATTGCTCAATCTATAAAGATTGAAAAGAACCTGAAATGTTCTCTCAAATCTGAGATATTTGCAAAAATATCCTTTATTTTTGGAGTTTTCAAAATAGACACAACATATTTATTCCAATACCCCTATATTTGTTAAAGCATTCCATTAATGCCTCAACATACCCACAAAAATACCCACGTCATACCCAACATTTGGTATGTGTTGGACACATATTTCACGTATTTGGTACATATACAACCATACCAGTACTCATACCCATACCGAATACATACCCGGTACTCATACAACATAATTTTTGGAGTACCCATGCTTCAAAGGTGGCTAGAGACAACGGTATCACTTGACATGGCATTGGCCTAATGCTACTACCTCAAGCCAGCCTTACTGAGAGAGAGACTACACCCATGGACCTTTTCACGAATGCTCAAAGATTGAGAAAAATCCAAATGAATGATATTCTCTAACACATTGATGACATATTCTAACAAAATTCTAGAATATCTAAAAAATTTGTTACAGGTCACGTGACCTACCTCTTATAAAAGAGGAGGTAGTACCCCCTCCCTTACATTCAGATAAGATTAAACACAGAACCCTAGAAAGGTCATTCATGAGCTCCATAGACTATGTACTAACATCACAGCGCTCTACTACCTCTCTCTCTTCTAGGCTACTGTCTCTCACCTGGACATCCTTGCTGTCCTCGATGCCGGCAATGTGTGTTTCCACTCTCTAGTTAATCCCTGACCCCCAATCCGTACTACCTAGAAGAACCACTGAATATAATTTGAGTAATTACAGCATTTTGTAATAAAAATAAGCTTGTTTGGTCCCTATTTTCAGGATTCACTTTTCAAAAAATTGAATTTTTTTGTTTTCCGTATTTTTTTGTTTTCACTAAATTTTTTTAATATTCTAAGAAACTTTTTTAATTTTTAGATACACCTAACATAAATACACTTAAAAAGTATACTGTTTGTGAAAAAAAAAATCTTTAAAAAATTCTCTAAATACCAAAAATACAAAAAAAAAAAAAAACGAGAATTCAGTACATTTTTCGTATTCTTATGTATTTATTGATTTTTTAAAATATTTTTTTTTTACAAATATTTTACTTTTTAGATACATCTAAGTAAGGTGCATCTAAAAAAGTTTTAAAAAAAATGCTTAAAATTTTAAAAATATTCATTAAAAACAAGAAAAACACGAAAAATAAAAAACTTAATTTCCAGAAAATTGAATCCAGAAAATTGAAACGAACCACACTGAATGGTGTTTGATCTTAAAAAAGTGATCCCACAAGTCTTCACAACCACTACTATAAATTGAAAGCTTCACTACCGATAAGCAAAAAACCTAAAAGCCAAAACAAAATAGGTTAATATATTTGCACACCACATAAAATCTCAATACACACGATTTGTGACGTTCGGGTATAAACTTACAAACAAAAGTCAAAGATTCGGACAAACAAAAATGAATTGTTCAAATATACATTCCGTTCAATAGTTTATATTCGAACAACTGTTTTTCGTTCAGAAGTATATGTTCGAACATTTGACTTTTGTTCAGAACTTTATATCCGAATGGCATGAATGGTATGTACTGTGGTGTGCCATACAATTTTCCTTAAAAAAAATGGGTCACGATATCTAGAAACAGTCAAAATCCCAAAAATTAGTATAATAGGAACAAGATTTTATACAATTATATGGTTTAAACAAGAACCAAGAATATACATTTATATGGTTTAAACAAGAACCAAGAAAGTCTATTAGTGGAACTTTTCAAATAAGAATAACAACAGGCTCCTCCCATAATCAGTTTTGTGTTACCTTAATTAAACTTTTAAAAAAATACAACCAAACCAAAAAAATTCACATGACATGATCTTTTTTCTTGATCTAGATAAATACTAGAACTTTAAAAGCAACACATAGAAACCAACAAAAATGAATGATAACATGGCTAGATCAAGCAGCGAGGGGCCTTCATGGTTTTCTCAATAACTCTTGGAAGTTCCTGCATCAGTGTTTCAAAACCAGTGGTTTTGGTGTTGTGTGATGTTTCACATTACATAAAAAGTAAAAACAAAGTAGCCCATCCACTTTCCAACATATGCCATTTGAACCTCTCTTTATTCTTAAGAAGATATGGTCCCAAGTGGACTGATGGTGTAGAGATGTGTGTGTGTGTGAGAGAGAGAGAGAGAGAGAGAGCTAAACCCCTAGTTACTATTCATATTACCTATAAAACCCATAAATAATTCAAAGTGAAATATGAGCACCCCCATCAACAGGAAAATTAAAAGAACAAAACAAAACAAATGCTTGAACAACTGCTTTGGAAATTCACCAAAATCATTTCAGCAAGTCAAATAGCAAACATCTTTTACCCATAAATTCACATTTCTGAAATGCAGTACTTTTTTTATGGTGGATTTCAAAATGCAGATCATTTCTATAGGAAATCATTCTCAATAATGTGCCTATCTAAGCTCAAATTGAAAGGATAAAAGGATCATAAAACAAGGAACAAACATCAAATAAGCAAACCTTTCAGCAAGTCAAATAGCAAACATCTTTTACCCATAAATTCACATTTCTGAAATGTAGTACTTTTTTTATGGTGGATTTCAAAATGCAGATCATTTCTATAGAAAATCATTCTCAATAATGTGCCTATCTAAGCTCAAATTGATAGGATAAAAGGATCATTCACCAAAATCATTTCAGTAAGTCAAATAGCAAACATCTTTTACCCATAAATTCACATTTCTGAAATGCAGTACTTTTTTATGGTGGATTTCAAAATGCAGATCATTTCTATAGAAAATCATTCTCAATAATGTGTCTATCTAAGCTCAAATTGATAGGATAAAAGGATCATAAAATAAGGAACAAACATCAAATAAGCAAACCTTTCCAGACACTGATTCTTAGAGCCTCTGCTGAAAGTCCATGGACATATTCACCCAAATATCTTCGAAGCAAATGCAGAACCTACAATCATTTGAATCTCAAAAGCTGCTTGATTTTCATAATATAGGAATTATTTTTTCAAAACATACCATTCAACAAAAAACCAGCATTCATACATAAGTTTCCAAATGGCAAGCTACTTGATGAACATTTCTTAACATAGTAGATAAGTGCAGATTTTAGCATTTACCCAAAATCAACTGTCTTAGTTCCAAAAAAAATCAATCTAATCAAAACACAAGGAAGGTCTCACATGATTCCATCAGTTCTGGCCACCACAATCCGAAATAACAATGCATCAATTGTCAACATGTGTAGCTGTCATCAGCATTTAATACAAAACAGGAAATGCCCAACAAAAATGTACTCATCAACTTGCATCAACTTATAATAATAACGTAATTAAATACGAGGGCCCAATATACTACGGTTGTTTCTTCTGTTTCTGCTTTAAGCAAAAAGAAAATTAAAACTTACGAGGAAAACGTTTGACTAGTGTCAACTCTTTTTTTGTTGATTTTGTCCATGAATAGCAAGAGCATTTATATTTTTTGTTCCCATAAAGTATGCCAAACGATTTTTTATCAGTAAAGAGTATAAAATATAATATAAAAAATAAAAATAAAAAAAAAGGATCAACAAGGGGGTGCCACCCATATACAAAGCAAACAACAAGACTTCTATACAATAATCCAAATGCTCAACAAAATCCAAAATTTACTTCAAGGATGGATCAACCCCACCCAAAAATCAATCATACAAAATTACCAAAATTTAATTCTTCAAACAAAAAATAGGAGTCTCAACTTCATCAAAACATCTTATATCACTCTCCCTCCAAATGCTCCACATTAGAGTGACAGAACCAATGGGGAAAGGGCCAAACACCAAGACCTCCTCTTCCTCCCATTGACTCTAGCTCCCTTCCAAGTAAACAAGAGCTCCAAAACTATAGGTGAGAAGACCCAATTCATGTTAAATACGGCCAAAAATAGCGTGATGCTAAATACCCCTCACTTATTTCTTAGAACCGCCCCACCCTTTCCATTTTTTTTATTCCAATTTTGTCCCCATTCCTATGCTACCAAAGCCTAGCTTTAACCCACCCCCACTTCGGTTGGCATCCTCCCCCACCATCACCAACTCCGGTTGGCACCCTCCTCCCCACCATTGCTTATCCCAGTCCAGCCTAGCCCAAACCTGCCATCCTTGTCCCTCCCCCAGCATCCCTCGACCCAGCCCAACCCAGAAGCTGCCACCCACAACGCCTAACCCTTGGGATCCAATTCCCACGACCCCCAATTAGGATAGAGAGAGATTGACAATGAGAGGCATAGTGACAAGACGGACAGAGAGAGAGAGAGAGGGGTTGGTGACACCAATGGAGGTGGTGGTTGAAGTGGAGAAGAGGGTGTCCGATGTGGGAGAGGGGTTAGAGGAGAGTAGCCGGAGGGGGAAGGGGTTGTTAAAGGGAGAAAGGAGTTGGGGAAGGGGGGCTATTGGAAGGTCACTAGAGGTGGGGGTGGGGGCTGCTGGAGGAAGGCTAAACGGGTGGGGGTCCAAAGGCATTTCGGAGATTATGGTGGGGGTGCAGAGAAGAAGAAGGTGGGTGCAAATGTTGGTGACGGGGATTCGAAGTGGGTGTCCTAAAAAAAAAGTGGGGGGCATTTGGCAACACTCCCAAAAATAAAGAACAAAGTTCCCAGCCACTTAACAGTGAATTAAAAAGGTAATCCACCAATTCACCATCTTGCTTTCATATGAAACATCAATTGACATGGACTTGCCTCCACTGAATTAGATTATCGATTGTGAAAGTCTTGCCATTAGCCTCTTTCCGGACAAAATTATTCAGCTTAGATGGTGCTTTTGTGGCTCTCTAAAGGAAAGGACCATCTCTATTGCCCAATAAAGCACCATAGTAAGATTTTACCTCGAACTTCCCGGGCTCAACCTCACCCAAAACAGGGCATCCTCCTCCTACCTCGGAATATTCATCTCATCAAGCTGTCCAAGAAGATTCACCAACACTTCCACCTCCCAATCATGCAGCTCATGACGGAAGCTGGTTCTACCCGTCACCCACCACAAACCTCAAAGGACACTAGAAATCATCCCAACTTTTTCTAATACCCCTCTACGGGCACACACCATAGGACACATAAATCTCCAAAGATTCATATTCAACCCACTAGATGAGCATTGAGCAACATGAGACATGGACTATGAGGAAAAGTATAGCATTCCAATTCCATCACTTCAAGTTAACATTTACCAAAAATATGGGAAAATTTTCAACAGCCATTATGCTTTCAATGACATTGGCCGTAAGAACTATAGGAAACAACACATCCTCACCAAATATAGTTACTGCCCTAAATTTAAAACCAGTGTCCAACAGTACACAAAACCAACTGATTAACAAGTCAATTATACATATGCATATATTTCCAAAAGAACAAAACATAACAAACACACCAGACTGAATTTGCAACAATGCAATAATAATGCATGATCTCCCAAAAAAAAAATTTGATGAAATTAAATTTCTTTTACGCAATTATAAATCATAAATGAAACATTTGAAAAGTGCAGCAAGAAATGGAATCAAATAATTGGAATTAAAATCCCTTACGTGAGCTTCGAACATGATGAATTGATGGATCAAAGTGCGATCGTTGTGTGTTGAAATTCAACCCAGCTTCATTGTTCAATAATTCTAATTCACAAAGTCCAGTCCAATTTATACATTCCAATATATATAACAATAAAATAAAATAAAATAAAATAATTTACATTGTCAAAATCAGACTTACCTTCGAAACTGCTCAGTATCGATTAACTTCAAAGCGAGCTGCAATCCAGAGATAGTAATTTTGAGTTTTTATTTAATTATAATTGTCTGAATAGCCTAAAAGGAGTTTAGATGGATCAATAACGAATATAAATTAGACAGCTATAAGTCTATAAAAATTTGAGAAAATAATAAAAAATTAGCTTAAAATAATGAAAGAAACTTGCACCAAAAAAAAAAAACAGAGGGCAAGAAGAAATTAGGCTACCAAACCAAAAACAGCATTCTCATGGCCAAAAAGAAGAGCTGTATACAAAAATTCAAAGCTCATGCATACAGAGCTCCACATAAAACATCTCTAACAGGTCAACCTTCACAAAAAATCAAGGATGTCAAGTTTAAATCAATAATTCTTCATCATTTCCTTCTCCTCTTCTCAGTTTTTTAAAATTTTAAATTAAATTTAGAAAACACATTTAAAACCTCCATTCGACTCTGAATTTCTTAATTTGAATATCCGAAGGCAACAGTAAAGAAATAAAATATCGATTCAGTTTTAAATTTCGTACATATGAACGCATAAACACGTAAATACATATGCATATGCATATATGTGATATGTGAGTTGTACATGATATCACTTAGAATCAATTGGAAGTACAAAATTCTATCAATTCGAGCAAAATACAGAGTTTGGAGCATCAAATAGTTCTACATCTCCGTGTGATTCACAAAATCAAAAATAGAAACAGTTCGGAGAATGAAAACACAAACACTAAATTGAAAAATAAATTAAAATAAAAATATGAAATGCATAGAGAGAGAGAGAAGTGTTTAGGCTTACCGATTATGAATCTCGTTTATGAATCGATCGAAATCTTCATCAACAGCAGATTGAAATCTTTAAATCTTCGTCAACAATCGATCAAAATCTTCAAACCTTCATCAAAGCGAGAGTCGAGCGAGAGACAGATTTTGAGAGAGAGAGAGAGAGATTTGGGAAATAAGCATTAAAAAAAAATGGACATAGGTCAAGTTTTCCCTGATTTGGTTTATTTTTTTAATTTTAAGCCTCTTACATAAACAAGTTATTTTAGTAATTTTTTTTATTTTTAATTAAAATATGTTATAAAAAAATTAATATATTTAGAATAATATTTTAATTTTTTTACGAAAAAATATGTAAAAAATAAAAAAAAATAAAATTTTTAAATTTTTGGTATATGTTATAGGCTTTTTAATTTTTTTAATAACTTTTTCACTTTTTAACTAAAATGTTAACTTGCCAAATGAAACCTTAGTTAAGAATATGATTGGGTCAAGTAAAATGAAATTTTTAATGTAAAAAATGATATTTTGTGACGGCCAAACAATCAATCATAAAAAAATAGACACAAAAAGTCATATCTCTAATAATGTCATATCCGTTACTAGAGTTTAATGATGATCTGCCTGCTCTAAAACTTTGTGCCATAATTGGTGGCATATCAAATGTCCTTTTACCAAAAATAACCCAAATTTTATCAAATTGTTCTACCTCTGAAACTCTTATGGTCCTTAAAACCCCTTTGAGTTATTCAACCACGCCATTAAACTGATTTAAAACAAAAATAAAAAATAAAAACAAAAACAAAAATAAAAAATGAATGTTCAGAATCATAAGAGGCTGATAATACTGTCTTAATCAATGAAATAAAGAATGTATAAATTTTAAAATTATAAGTTCAGAGTGAAGCTTTGGAATCAGAGGATCTAAAATAAGTGGTTAAAAGTGAATGTGTCGAATGTAACTTCAATAAAAGTAAAAGTACAAATTGGGGAGTAGTGAAGCATAAAAGGTAATATATGCCTAAAGAGCAAACAATTTCACCAAATGGCCTGATCAAATTAGAAGATTACTCTACCAAAAGCACATTAACTTATGACTTTATCATAGAAAATCTAATATCTAAAATGAAAGTTATAATAATAATAATAATAAAAGAATGAGTTAATACCAAACCTCATACTTCAAGAATCCTTCAAGAACATCCAAAAGCAAAGGGGCACTATCTCCATTCTTGTTAAGATCATATCCGTTGTTGCTACTAAATTCTTTTAACTCAGCTTTCCAGGAATCCTTTTGCTGCAATTGAAGTTAAAATTAATACAAATCCATTACAAGAAAAATTAGAAGGTGACTAAAACACATATAAGAATTATTGTAATAAAATTGGCAACATTATTGGACAGTACATGATTACTAAATTACACTGCAAATAAAGTTTTTGTGTGTGGCCCAGTTGTGCCTAGTACAAGGGGAATTTTCCCAATATAAGCCGTTTTTACATTCTATTTCCAAAACTAGGCCAACTTCTGACGGAATTCCAAAACTAAGCTAAAGCGCCATTACTATTCGCGCTTTTACTGTTAGGAGCGCGAAGGTACATGAACAGAGAAATCGCTATTACAAATAGCGATTTTGATTAATAAGTCGCTGTTACAAATAGCGCTTATAGTGTTACTTTTTTTCCAAAAAACGCTGTTCTTAACAGCGCTTTTCACACAAAATTTTGTTGCCAAAAAAACGCTATTGATAATAGCGATTTTAACAAAAAAAAAATTCTCAAAAAAACGCTATTTATAATAGCGATTTTAACAAAAAAAATTTTGCAGAAAAAACGCTATTCATAATAGCGATTTCAGTTGAAATTTTGTTCCAAAAAAACGCTATTTCTAATAGCGATTTTAACAGAAATTTTTTTTCCACCAGCGTTTTTAACATAAACTTTGTTGGAATAAAACGCTATTTTCAAGATAAAACAAAAGAAAAAAACATAAAACATATTTTAAAAAATATATTTACACTGTATATTTTAGTACTTGGCTTTACTAAAGCAATTATCATGTTAAAATATGTTTTTTTTTTTCTTTTGTTTTTGTTTAGAATGTGTAATTCATAAATTTTACATAATATGAAAAAAAACCTCTTTTCATATATTAATTTTACATACTATTTTTCATATATATAATTTCAAAATCATATTCATGTAGATATTATTAAGCCAATCATGTTCATTTATTTGGCTTTACTGAAGCCGTTGTCATGTTACATTTTTCATTTTTTCTTTTGTCTTTGTTTTGGGTGGGAAGGTGTTATTTAGAAAATTATTTTGGCTTTACGAAAGCCGTTTTCATTTAAACATACATATATATTTATTCTTTTGTTTTGGGTTAGAAGGTGAGAATGTAATTCAGAAAATCAGTTTAGTAAACCAGTTTAGTAAATCATTTATAAAATTTATTTTTTGTATCGTCTTTGTTATGGGTTAGAATGTGATATGCATGCTGTACAGTTCGAAGCACACCCACACACTGTGCAACTCGACGAGCAACGACGAAGGGTGAGACGCGAAGACCACCGCAGAGTAGGCTTGTTATGGGTTAGAATGTGATATGCATGCTGTACAGTTCGAAGCACACCTACACATTGTGCAACTCGACGAGCAACGACGAAGGGTGAGACGCGAAGACCACCGCGGAGTAGGCCAAGAAGACAAAGGCCACAGCGAGAGCTCCTAAAATAAATTTTCTCAGCATTTTTGTAATAATACTTAATACATAATATACGAAGTCAGTACTTTACAAAATACTCTTACGGGTATGAAAACAACATAACTGAAGTTGCAAATGTAATAGTTTTCAGTTACGTAGGTAGTACAGACATAATTCTCCCACAAAAATACATTATGGACACCATGAACTGAACACACATTACATACATCCTGGACACTCTTAACTGAACACACAATACATAAACATAACAGTTAGATAGAGAAACACCTAATTCATGACCTAATATTGCATATTAATAGCCGTAACATTTGACAGACACAATACATAAACATAAACTTAAACATAAACATAACATAACATAACAGTTATACTTACTCTAACACAGACATTACATATTAATGGAAGTTGTTATATTGCCGAAGTGTAGACATTAACACCTAATTCGCGCTTAAATCGGCAGGTGGCTCAGAGTCTGAACAATCCGAAAGCTCAGCGTCAGAGACAAGTTCAGGATCCTCCATGATAGCCTTGATAGCTGCAACATTTGGTTCTGTTTTGTTCTTCTGGGCATCCTTCTTAACTATGTGTAGCTGCATATCGCGGGCTAACCTACGGTTCATTTGAGACTGTAAATATGCTAGTGTTTGACATAGTCGATCAACATTATCAGGATCTTCCTTTTGGATCTCAACAGAACGTGCTTTTGGCACCTTCAGTCGTCTTTCCCGACATAATCTTTCGTTTTGCACTCGCTCTATAAATAGTGCGGGCCACTTAAGAAGTCTAGCCTTTGCATAACCATATCCTGTTTGATTTTCTGATGGATCCTCCACCAAACCACATGGATCTCGATAGTACTTGGGCATGACGAAATGTCGCTTCCCAAACCTATCATGATAAGCACAAGAGGCATCCAAGAAAGGAAATGGTGTTTCATCTTCAGCATCGCCACTTCCCCTTCCCCCTCCTCGTCGTGAACTTTCACCCCTTTGCAAGTTCCTACCACCTCTGCGACCCCCACTCCCTCCTATGAACCATGTAGCCATGCTAATTTTTTAAAACAAATGAATGATAATTTCGTAGGGCGAAATGAGTTGTAAGGTTGTGTCTTCACCTTTACTCGTTTATATAGTTGATTATGAACGGATAAATGAGAATCCCACATATATGCATGCTGACTGTAAGGTAAATGCATGCTGACTGTAAGGTAAATCAGTAGATTCACTGTTGCCATGTGACTTTCTGAGTTGAGAATCTCACATATATCAATAACAGATGAGTTGTCACTGTAATAAAAAAAATCGAGCAACAAATCGAGGAAACCAAAGCCTGTGCACCAATTCACATGACTTGGCCATCCATCTGCATATAAGGACAAAATAAAGGCATGCTGTTGTTAAGGTAAATCAGTGAATTCACTGTTGCCATGTGACTTTCTGAGTTGAGAGTCCCACATATATCAATAACAGATGAGTTGTAATAAAAAAAATCGAGCAAAAAATCGAGAAAACCAAAGCCTCTGCACCAAGTCACATGACTTCACAATCCATCTGCATATACAGACAAAATGAAGGCAGGCTGACAGTAAGGTAAATCAGTGAATTCACTGTTGCCATGTGACTTTCTGAGTTGAGAATCCCACATATGTAAATAAGAGATGAGTTGTGACTGTAATAAACAAATCAGTAAAACCGAGGTCCGAACACCAGGTCACATGACTTCACAATCTATCTGCATATACTGACAAGTCTCTCCACGATTTGACTACTCAATGTGTGAAAAAATGAAGCTTATGAAGCTTACGACCCGCTATTTGTATTTCATTGAAAAGTATGACTATTTGAATTGTTCTTGTCATTTAGGAAGCTATTCACCGACCTACCTGTTATGTTTTATGTGTTGTTGAAGGCGGTAGTTCGATTCACCGAGTTTAGTTTTTTGTCAACCCCTCATTCATTACCGGAGTCATAATTTTTACTGGACTTTGAAGAATTGGAAGATGACTCTTTCTTCTTTCCTGATGGAGATTGAAATTCGTTGTAATTTCATCCCTATTTCAGCAGCCCCAGTTAAGGGAACCTTTTCTCCGAGTTGCCTGATCTATTTTATGTGTTTTAAGTATTCACATAATTGAACATACATTAATCCATTAATTAATCCAGAACATTCATTAACAAATTGCAATTCAATAAAGAAAGTTATGAACTCATAAATGTGTACTTATAAATGTAGGTATTTCATAAACTTCAGGTTCATAACAAAAATACTTGAAATACATCCGTACGTTACACCAACAACAACGTTGTCTTACACTCTAGGAACGAACATATGAAAGATAACGGTGTTTGATTTCTTATTCGTCATCTGATATGTAGTAGTCAGAGAGATATTTTTCATTGTTGAAGACATTATTTCGCTCAACCATTGTCAAATCTCTGTTGCTTGCTTCTGCCATTTCAGTGGCTAGCTGAAGCATGAAATGTCGACATCTCCGCATCAACATCCTGTTGTTCTCCTTCTTAATTCTGCTAACTGCTTTTTCATAGTCACTCACATTTCGTCTAGCCATGGTCAATGAACGACGATGAGGTACCGGTGCCCCAAAGTTACGTAGATCATTATACAATCCTTCTTGCTCCGTTACCCTGAACGCCCATTCTGCTCGGATACCAACATAATAATCCTTTGGACTCGAGTACTTTTCGCTCTTGTAGTCATACATAAATGGAGGTAGCAGCCACACTTTCGGATTTCTTTGCCGGCGTGAACTTCCTGCACCTCTTGAAGACATTGTTAATAAAATTAAAAAAAATAATAATAATAGTAATTGTATATCTATTACTATTGTTATGACTTCAACAAACATCATACTGGGGTATTTATAGACATCATAGTGGTGCTAGGGCACTATGGAATAAGTGATACACGTGATATTATTTGATGTTATTCATTTCATGTAATTTTGATTACCCGTGACATGATAGTGTTGTTCATTTCATATCCCTTCATATTCGAGCAGTGCGTTGTCAAATAAAACAAAATGCAGTGAGTTGTCACATCGCCACATGAAACTATTTTGTCATGCTTACTTTTGTAATACAATAAGTACTCACTTGGAATTGACGATTTCAGTACGTATAGGTGTTTTCGAGAAATTATAAATGAAATCGAAAAATGAAATTTTCTTTGTATTAAAGTAATATTGTTCATAAACTATCATTGTTTTTCTCACCAACATAAGAAAATGGTCATCTGCTAGGTAAACACGATTGGAACTTTGGTGCCTATATTTTATCTTATTTTCAGTTAATGAACTTTACAGTCATCCGATTTTTATTGTCATTACACAATCGTCCATCATATTTTTTTACCAACATAATAGCATTTCTGCTTCTTTTCACAGTCATAATAATGTGACTTAGATGAATTCTGAAATGTGCGGAAAAAACAAAGCATGTAAGTTGCACTGCAGAAGTCACATGCATCACGTAATGTCAAGAAACAAGTCACAACGTATACAAGCATGGCAAAGTAAGAAAGTCACATGTATTACTGCATCACTGCATAAAGTGACATGCAGCATTGCATCACTGCGCAAAGTCACATGTAGTGATGCAGTGATGCACAAAGTCACACGCATCACTGTATCACTGCACAAAATCAGATGCATCCCTGTATCACTGCACAAAGTCACATACCTCCTACGTACTGTGCCCATTGCAATTATGCACAAAGTCACAGGCATCGCTGCATCTGCGGCACAATAGCCGATGCTACAGGCCGTTGATTCGTTCATGACTGCACAAAGTCGAGTCCTGACAGCCGTATGCACTGGATAAGGTCAGTGGCATGCATGTGATCGAACAGGAAATTGCATACACACAGCTACCATGTGTGTATATGGTATAAATATCATAGCATACTACAACAAAAGTTTTACAGCTATTTCTACCGATATGATCATGACATATACGGTGGTTGATCTATATTCAGCAATGGGTCGCTATTGGGTTGCAGATGGAGATGAATTTCAATACCCATTAAATCCAAATTTGCGTTACTCACGTGCGACCGTCAATACCATGAGAGCTGAGTGGGAATTTCGCAAAACTCGAGCAAACGTTCTCGTTGAGCTATGCCGTGAAGTTAATCTTAAATTTCCTCGCCGGTTAGCCATGCGTATGCCAACTGACACTCCACAGTTGTTGCAAAGGGCATTGCATCGTATCCGCGACGAGGTTAATCGCATGACCCAACGTTTGCAGAGGTCCGAACTAATGAAGACCGCAAATGACCGTGCCGAAGATGGGTTAATGGATGATGTACACCAGTACTACGCCTGGAGCATGGATGTTATGTATGAATCTGATATTGAGATGTTAGATGATGATGATAATGAATGAAATTGTTTGGATGAACGCCCAGGGCATTTCTGTAATGCATGCAATTTGTAATGCTTATCCATGACGTATCAATGAAGCGAGATATTTCAATTATTTTTAGCCTTGAACAAACATATTTTTTATAGCTTCTTTACACGTTTTGTTCAAACCAAACGCGTTTGTAATTTATGTTCTCCTAAATTACGGATAATGAGAGAGGGGTAGAGATGTAAAACAGATTTGTGTGATTCATCAATATAAATAAGAATAAAAAATTGTGAAATGATAATTGCGAATAAATAAGTATGACACTTATATCAGCTGTACAAGTTTGACACATACAAACAAAAAAAAGAAAAAAAAAAAAAACCTATATAGTCCATATCGCAACCGCTAATGCCCTAACCTGCCCCCAGTCCCACAACCCCGACCGTGGATCTCCCTCCTCGGTCTCCTACGGTAGACTCTCTGAATATCTGGCACTCTCTCCCCTGCATGCTGCCCTCCACTGACTGCCTGTGGAGCCTGTGAGTGTGAGTGTGGCCCCCCCTCTCCTGCATCTGATGCCCCTGATCCTGCCTATGCCTGTAGATCAGATACTGCTGTGAGCTGTGAAACTCCCACTCCCTCGTCTGGTGCAACTGTATCATGATCTGCAGCTGGACCACGACCTCTACCTCTGCCCGCACCCCGACCTCGGCCGCGACGTCCCCCACGACCATAACCACTCCCTCGCGCTCTGGGGGGGCTCAATATGGGCCTCATCATCAATATGAGAGATGTCAGTGAGAACTGCATCATGTGTACTCCTGGGCGCGGTCGAAGTAGTCCCCAGAAAAGCAGGGGGTAACTGGGTGGGTGGGGTAGCAACATCATGCATGAACCGGGGCGCGGTCGAAGTACTCCCCAGAAAAGTAGGCTGTAACTGGGTGGGTGGGGTAATAACATCATGTATGAAGCGGGGCGGTGACCAATCAGGGTCAGGGTCAGCATGCTGGGTAAGATGTACGTGTGGGGAATATGGAGAAATGTATGGGGTATCATGTGGTGGGGTGACTGAAGTCGAAGGACCTGCTGTGGCTGGCGCTGAACTGGAAGGCACTGACGTGGACGGGACTGATGTGTCTGGAGCAGCTGCTGCAGTGTGTACACCGTAGTCCCCAAAATGCAGACGATCTACCCGATGGGCATGCTGGATCCCCTCGTACAATAACTCTCTGATCTCTACAAGGGCCTGCAGACCAAGCTGTCCATCACGTCTGAAAATAGCATCCTCAGCCAAGTGATATGACCTCCCAACTCGAACCACCTGGAAAAAAAATCAGATATATTAGGCTATAGTTGACTGAAAATAATCAATTATGATATTAACAATTATCGGACATATAGTACGATACTCACCAATGCCTCGAGAGAAGGCCCAACTCCCTGATATCCGGCCTCGGACAGGTGGCTCGGATTACCGACAAGTAGGTGTGTATGTCGCCGATACCACAACATGTAAGGGTCGGGAGAGGGGAGGACCCCATCGCTCCAGTCAGCCTGTACAATAGTGTCGCGACGGGCATCCCACAACTGTATGTATCGCATATGATGCTGACTCCAGTCAGTGCTGGCTCGGCCACGTCTATCCGTCGCATGCAACCGCCACTCGGTGTCACACCGATCCGGCACGGCCTGGACCCGACCAAACTGTCGGAGGACACGATCAGGGAGATGCCACTCAACCACGTCAAAACAAATGAGTGGTACTCTCGCCATCCATATATCCTCACCTAGGCGGCAGTAGTCTGGGAGCGTCTGGAGGACATCAGCATAAGGCTGCCAGATAAACTACAATAACGACAAGTCTATTAAAAATAGCTCATAAACATATACAGTCCATATGACAATTAAAATTTAGGTATTTAAATTTGATACCTCGCCGTCTATCATCCGGTCAAGCTGGTCTCTATACACGACCACTACGTGGGTCGATACGACCTCGTGGCTCATGTCAACCCTCCACCGGCTACCTCGAGGTCCGGCCGGCATCTGCATGTCTCCCTGCCCGATGGGAACCTCACCAGGAGCAACTAGTTGCCGCCTAGACGGGGCAATGCAAATCAATCTCTCCCACGCCCAAATCTGCAATAATTTGAACGCAATTACAATACTGCTATATGCCATACAATATGAATTGACATGTAATAAAATTCTTACTAACCTGTAGCAAGACAAGGGGTCCTCCGATCTGAGTCACACCCACCTGAGTGGCTCGACATAACATCCTATACAAGCATGCCAAAGCCGCGGCGCCCCAGCTGTACTGGCCGATGACGTCAATGTCTCTCAACAGTGGCAAATACATCAACTTGAGCAGGTTCTGTGACTTATCAAGGAGAAGTACCCCCCCAATAAGCCACAGAATATATGCTCGCGCATGCTGCTGTACTAACTCATCTGCAGCATCATCTGGAAAATCGCCCTGAAAATGCTCCGACAGCCACCTCACCCTCACTCTACCTGCCTGTAAGTCTGCAGGTGTAGGTGCTACTCCCAATAGCTCAGCACATAGCGCTATCCACTGCTCCGTCGTCAATGATGGGTCAAGTCCAGTAACTGCTCGCCCATCAATCCGTAGACCGTATAGGACAGATACGTCCTGCAATGTGACGGTGGCCTCACCGGTCGGGAAATGAAATGTATGAGTCTCTGTGCGCCATCTCTCGACGAGAGCAGTAATGAGTGGGTGGCCATCCAACCAAGAGAGAAGCCCCTGTTG